GACGGAGCGTCAGCTCTCCCCCTTGCTCGGAGGCATCTGGAGAGCAGGGGGGATGTGGATGCAAAGCAGGATGGGCTGGAGCATGGGGTGTCCGCCCCCCACCCCGTGGCCTTGGCCATCAGAGATAAGACCCCCCCCGCCGCCCCATACCCCGGTCCTGCAGCTTGCCTACGTATCCGTTGGGGTCCCTCCCATCCAGCTCGTAGCGGTCATTGAGGTAGATGGCAAACCGCAGGGCCTCCTCAGGGGAGCGGGTCCATTCCAGGATCTTCTTGGCCCAGTACATCCGCAGGAAGCCATGCATCTTGCCCTCCTGGACCATTTGGCGCTGGGGGAAAGGGACAGCCACAGGGGTCAGTCCGTGCCAGCTCGCCTCAGCCCTTTGGGAAAATGCTCAGCATTTTGCGGGGGAGATGCAGGGCACTACCTGGGCAGCATTCCAGAGCGGGTCATGCGTGGTCCCCTGCTCCAGCTCCTGCAGATCATAGAGAAAAGGCCTCTTGTCTTTGGCATGGAGCTTCAGGGTGGTTTGCGCCCAGTCGTAGGCACCTGTGAGCAAAAGAGATGAGGAGCAATGCTGAGCAACCCACTCATGCAGGGCCCCGAGGAAGGGATGGAGAATTGGGCTACTGAGGGCACCGTGCCCTGGAGGCACCAGCCTTGAAGAGGGCATCCGCCAGCTCCTGTCCTACCTCCAGAAGGTACTGAATGATGGCACATTAGTGCTCCCACAGCCCCTCTCCTAGCAGAAATGGGATTGCCAAGTTGGGGTGACCAGTTGGTCACCAGCCCCCAGCATTGCCCACCCAAGCCGGGATGCTACCTTGCACGCTGTCGTAGTTCTCGTTGTAGTAGCAAAAGTTTTCAGCCAGCTCCCGCCGCACCACGGCCTCCTCCACGAACGCATCCACCGACTCCTTGTACTTGCCCCGGTGCTTCTGCACCTCCAGGATGGCTCGCTGGGTGGAAACTTGGCCTGGGGACATGAGGAGGGAGCAAGTCAGGCTGCAGGTCCAAGCCATCGTGCTCGGTCCTGCTGCAGAGTGGGAAGCCTGGGATGCTCACCAAAGTGGAACCATGGGGACAAGTTGCTGAGTGCAGCCTTGTTGGGGTCGTTCCGGTGGGAGCCGAAGGATTTCAGCCGCTCCACGATGAAGGACTGCAGCACAGCCAGCCCCGCAGCTGTGCCAGGGGTTGCCCACTCCACCTCCTTCACGGTGCGGTCCACCTGCAAGCTGGAATAACACGCCTCCCAAGCGATGGGCTGGGCGGCGACCAAGTAGCATGAGTGCATTTGCAGATGCTTTTCAACCAGGGCTGCCCTGAGTGTTATGTCCCCTGGATGTCCCCAATCAGCAAGTCCCCAGCTCATGCCAGCCTTCTGTTCTTAGCCAGCCCTGCACAGCAGAGATGTGGGAACTGAATGAATGAGGTGGGAACCTCCCTTCCCCAGGGCATCCCCATCTCCACACCACCTGTGCGTGACCTCAGGCAGGTCACTGTCCCCATCCCCTGCCATCCCCTCCCAGGATCACGAAGCAGCTGTGACACTCTCTGGGACTGGCCACAAGTGCGTGTGGAGGTGTCTCCTGCTGGTACCTCTGCCGGGCAGGAGGGGAGATATGGGTGACGAATGACGGGGGGGAACTCTGTGAGGAACTCGGGGAGCTGAGCGTGGATCTTGCCCCGGATGGTCCTGGCACCATACTCCTGCTTGGGGGAGGCGATCCAGCAGGGCACGATGTTGTGGGCATCCACCTGGGAAGCGAAACCGTGGAGGAGGGTGTGAGCAGGAGAAGCAAATGGTCCCAATGACATGACATGGTCACTCCAGCACACCCTTGCAGGCATGAAATGCAGGAGACAAAGTTTCTCCCACACCTCACCAGCCAGAGTTTTCCCCTCCCAGCCACAGTCACCCACCTGCGCAAATGGCACATCGTCCGGCAGCTGCTCCCTGACATCTTCCACCCACTGCCGGGGGAGGCGGAGGGGGCAGAAGTCTGTCACCAGCCCGCCCACGCCATGCTCCACCACGAACGCGGGCAGCACATCCTTGGCATAGCCCAGCAGCAAGTGAAAGGGGATATTCAGCTCTGTGCACTCCTGCAGCAAGGGGCAAAGGGCTATGGGATGGTTCATGCCTCTGCGGACCCCACCCCACCACCATCTGCTGAAGGGGTGGATCTGCCTCCCCCCTTCTCCAGGAGCCCTGTCCCACCCAGTCTGGACATTCCCAGAGCAGCCATACCTTGGCCACCTCCTGAAGGCCCCTCAGCATGAAACCATAGTGGCGGATTGTAGCATCCAGGAATTTGGGCACCAGGCAGAAGCAGACATGCAGAGGCAGCTCCTGTTTGAGGGCCAGGCGCTGGGCGTAGAGGAAAGCCCAGTTATCTGGGGAGAAAGCGCACGGGGCAGTGTCGGGGGGACGCTTTGCTGAGGGGATGGAGACGAGGTTTCACAAGAGGAATCCCCCCAGGCCCCCCTGAAGAGGGGGGACCAGCTCCAAGGGCTACCGTGGGAAGTGACCAAGGCTTTTGCCACCCATGGGAGCTCCGTTTCCCGGCCCCCTCCGCCAGCTGGTTCACACCTTGCACCCGCTGGTCCCGGGACATCCAGTAAAGGATGCACCGAGCATCAT